ACCTGACCTATCCACCAATTCGGTTTGCACGTTTAAAAATAGCTATATGCTTAAAGACGAGACGGGACAGCACAAGTTGTATTGTCCCGTCGCCTGTTTATACGTTTATAACCCTTTCTAAACATACATCATTTCCAACGCGCTCACTAACAAGGAATTCAGTTTACCCGCTATACATTGCGGAAAAATACACGTCATGTCTCGTTAACCAACTCAGTTTCCACGGTAAACAGGGGAAAATTACTTAATAACGGAAAAATAGGCGTTACGTGACCTATACACCAATTCAGTTTAACACTAAATATCAGAAAAATAGACGTCACGTGACGTATGCACCAATTCCATTTCTCCGCTAAAGAGCAGAAAAATAGACGTCACGTGACCTTGCTCCAGTTCAGTTTCCCCGCTAAATAGTTGAGAAATAGACGTTTTAATGTTCCGGAACCGTTTTGTTTTTTGTCTTATTTCGTGTGAAGGCCTTGCGCGAACAATTTCGGGGGAGACGTGTGGGGTTCACTAGGGGATGTTTACGACCTCTGGGCGGGAGAACTTTGAGCGGGGCAAGGAGTCTCCCCCTTGCGGTGCGGGTGTCCCGTTACTCGAGAACAGGCCGCGGCGTGGCGGGCTGTCACCTCCCGCGCCCCGCTCGGCTGATTGCAGCTGGCAAGGCTCCGTGGTTATGTGTTTTAGAGCGCAGCTCTTAGAGGCCCGTTTCCAGCCTGAGCGGCGTCGGCGTCGCCGTCGCCGTCGGCGTAACCACGCATTGCATGCAACAGGTTGCATGCAACCTGTTGCATCCTGTGCAACCTGTTGCATGCAGGTCAGAAAAGATGTAACAGGTTTGTCGTGATTGAGGGTTCCGACGAACGCTCCCAGCCCGGCGACACTACCTTGTGCCGGGTAGGAGACAGGATCGAGGAGCCGGGAGGCGACGAGCTCAGCAAAACAGAACACACTATATTTACATTAATTACAACATCCTTTCAGTGTTCGTACCACAACAACTTCACGGGTGTCCTTTCTTTATATCTCCGCCTCGCCATCTCGCCGTCCACTGGCTTGTCCAATCGCAGGGGCCTACGTGGTCCTCGGCAGCTAATGTGGAAGAAGTTCGTGTGCCAACGGCCAGCCAATGCCCAAGAAGTTCGTGGCGGGTCTCTCGGCGTGGTGGTTCGCTCGCTGAAGAGTCACCCACACGAACACACAGACACGGACACCCAGCTTGTACAAAGGTTGTCTCGAGAGCCGAGTTCTACGAAGCTCCCGCACGAGCCGCCAGTCGGTGCGAGAGCGTGCTTTGGTCGACGTGAGCCAGGGGCACGCGCCGCTCTCGTAAACGTGGTACGGGTGTGTCGTAGCCTTTCACAATAGCTCCTCCGGCAACCGGGAGAGCGTTTTGAGGTAGAGCAGTTAGCAACCGCTCTTCCGAGAGACGCGGTTTCGCTCTGGGGTTCTCGGCAGGAGTTCGGGCACTCGTTCATCCTGGGAAGAGGTAGACACACGGAACAACCACACCAGACCAAACTCCGGGCCGATGAACACCCAGCCCCTCCCTCAGTCCGCCACACCATCACAAAATAAACAAGCAGCTCATCAATTCTCCTCAAAGCCCTTGCGCTACGAAGATAAACTAGAGAGCTTAGAAATACTGTAAGCTGGAAAGCTGGATACAACCTACACCCGTGAAAAAAAACAAATACAACGACAAAACAGATTAATTCCCCCACTATAGCCGGCTCACCGAGATAGTCATTTCTCGGAACACGCCTTGGGAGTCACAACAGAATTTTTCCCCGGAGAATTTCGAAAATTCGCCGCAACTCATCAAGGCTCGCCCTTTTCGCTAGACGCTACGGCTGAGCCCATCTGCGTTTAAATTAAGCTGTCCTTTTCTGTACTTTACTTCAAAATTGTATTGCTGAAGGATCAAGCTCCACCGAAGGAGGCGGCCATTTTTGGGCGACATGTTTTGTAGCCACTGCAATGGACAGTGATCTGTCTCACAGACAAACTTGGTACCTGAGAGATAACATGAAAGCCTTTGAACGGCCCAAACAAGACATGCACATTCCTTCTCTGAGGCGATATAAGCTTTTTCGCGTGTGGAGAGCTTTCGACTAATGTAGAGTACCGGCCGCTCGTTCCCCTCATCATCGGTCTGGCTCAAGATAGCTCCGACCCCGCGATCGCTGGCGTCACACTGCACTACGAATTCCGTCGCGTAATCTGGTGCCCTCAGCACCGGCCCCTTTGTTAGCGCCTCCTTCAACGAGTTGAACGCACGTTCCTTTGCTTCGTCCCATTGAACTATCTGCGGCTCGGATTTTCTGAGGGCGTCGGTGAGCGGGCTTGCTATGTGCGAATAATTCTCTATGTAGTGCTGGTAGTAACCAGAAATCCCCAGAAATGCACGTGTTTCTGTTTTCGTCTTGGGACGCCGGTGCTGTGCGACTGCAGCAGTCTTAACCTCAGAGGGCCGGCGACAACCTTGTCCGATCACATGGATTAAATAGCTGACCTCAGCTCTCCAAAGCTGGCATTTTTCGGGCTTGACGCTAAGTCCCGCCTGGCGAAGCCGTTCTAGAACCGCGCGAAGGTTTTCCACGTGGGTTTCCCAGGAATCCAAAAAAATATCCACGTCATCCAGATAGGGGAGGGCGAAGTCGCGAAAGTCTCCAAGGACACGATCCATAAGGCTAGAAAAACAAAACGGCGCGTTTTTCAGGCCGAAACTCAACATGATCGGCCGAAAGGTGCCAATGGGAGAGATAAACGCGGCGTACCGGCTAGCCCGTTCGGTAAGAGGGACCTGCCAGTAGCCCCGCACTAGGTCTAACGTCTATATAAACCTAGCCCCGCTAACTACCTCTACCCTCTCCTCAATGTTCGGGATCGGGTAGGTTTGATCCCGGGTGATAGCATTTAGCTTTCCGTAATCGACACAGGGCCTAGGGTCTTTCCCTAGTGCTTCAACAAGGATCAGGGGCGATGTGAAGTCACTGTCCCCGGGTTCAATAACGCCGAGCTCCAATATGCGCTTGATCTCTATTTCCATTATCTCTCTTTGTCTTGGAGATACTCTGTACGGCCTAGAACGAACCGGTTGATTGACAGTTAGCTCGATGTCGTGGACCACCAAGGTCGTTTTTCCTGGCCTATCTGAAAAGGTCGTTCGAAACTCCCCGATCAACTGGGTTAGATCTGCAATCTGAGCGGGCTGGAGTTTCTCATGAATTATCATTTTTGCGCAGAGCTCTTCGACAGTGAAGCATCCGTCACCTTTGAGGAAGGGGATCTCATGCGGCATCTCCTCTGGCGCGTTCAGAGTTAAGTTTACAATAGCCTCGCGTTCTTTGTAAGGCTTCATGAGGTTGCTGTGGTAAATTCGCGTGTTTGGCCGCCTCCCTTCTAGCTCAACTGCGTAGTCTGTGTCAGACAGCTTCTGCAGAACCCTGGCTGGGCCTTCCCATTGAACGTCAAGTTTGTTCTTTCTACAGGGAACAAGAAGCATAACCTTGTCGCCCACCTCAAAAGTACGCAGCCGGGCTGTTCGGTCATAATAGGCTTTTGCCCTGTTCTGTGCGGTCTTCGCGTTCCTTTCCATGATCCCCATTGCCTTATTTAGCCGATTTAACAACTCTAGAACGTACTCGACGACCGTTGGGTTTTCCTTTTGATCCTCCCAGGATTCTCGAAGCATACGCAGCGGTGTTCTCAAAGCCCTCCCGTACACTAGCTCCGCGGGACTAAACCCCGTCGTCTCGTGAGGTGCCGTTCTAAGAGCGAACATCGCCGCTGGGAGGCAGGCTTCCCAATCCCTTCTGCGCTCTACACCAAGAGCGCGCAGGATGCACTTCAGCACCGAATGAAGCCTTTCCACGCTGTTCGATTGTGGGTGGTAGATGGAGCTGTGAACTAGCCTTATACCACACTTCTCGAGAAAGGTGGTAGTTAGTAAGCTGGTGAAGACGCTTCCCTGGTCGCTCTGAATTTCTTCTGGAAACCCCACCCTAGAAAAGATGGACAAAAGAGCGTCCACCACGTTAGCCGAGGACAATTCCTTCAGTGGAACTTCCTCTGGAAACTTTGTGGCCGGACACAAAGCTGTCAAAATATACCGGTACCCCGACTGCGCCTGAGGAAGTGGTCCGACGGTGTCGATCACGAGACGGCGAAATGGCTCAGTAATTACTGGAACCAATGTCATAGGGGCTTTCTGCCTATCCGTAGATTTCCCGACACGCTGGCATGCGTCGCAGGTCTTCACAAATCCCTCGACGTCCTTCCAGCATCCCGGCCAGTAGTACTCCTGCGTCAGTCGCGCCTTGGTTTTTTTATCCCAAGGTGTCCTGACCAGGAGCAATCGTGGGCGAGATGGAGCAAGTCCGCTCGGTACTTACGGGGAACGACAAGCTGGTCGAACGACTTTCCCTTTCGGTCTCGGTACTGCCGGTAGAGCACGCCTGATCTCGTTTGAAACGAGATGTTCTTCTTGGCTATGCCTTCCCTCTTACTCCCCTGGATATCTTTCAGGGATGGATCATTTTTTTGCTCCAAAATAAGCGTCGGCCTATCCAGTTTAGCTAAAGCCTGAAAGCTTTTGGAGGCCGGTGAGAGAAGTATGCCGTCCTCTTTCTCATGATCGGCATCTGCTCTACCCGTTCTGTCCCTGGCTCGGTGTTCTGGTGCTGTGATTCGGAAAATTCCCCCGACACTCCAGGCTTGTCTCCCGACTCAGCGGAAGGGGAATCCTCTTCCACGGAGTTATAGCTCAGCTGCCTCGCTAGAGCACGTGCCTTCGAGCGCGTCAGGGCCAACACTGTTTCGTTTGCGAAGCTCAACCCCCTCTGTTGCAACATCTCTTCAGACTTATTTGAAAAGAGGTACGAATACGGCAAGGAAAGCCTGCTGGAGACTGCCGCTTCCGTTTCTAGGACTCCACAAGGTCCCGAGATAGAAACTTTAGCAATAGGCAAGGAAACACTTTGCTCTTCTACCACCTGTCGAATCCAAGCGCAGTCTCCAGTGTACTCCTCTGGTCGCACGTACGTAGGGTGTACGACGTCCATCGTCGCGGCTGAGTCTCGCAACACACGGCATTCTTTGCCATTTACTAGCATTTGTCGCGTGTAGGGCTCTAACAACCTCTCGTTGTCTTCGCTGTCACGGACATAGTGGAAAGCCACTTTCTTTGTGCAGCTGGCCGCAAAGTGGCCCGGCTCTTTGCAATTAAAACAAATAGATGGTCTCCTTTTTTCGAAGACCTTGCTGCCTTCGCTGTTTGGTTTCGGCTGGTAGCCAAATTTCCTGTTCGCTGCCTCGACTTCCTTTTCTTTAGGTTTCCGGAAAGACCCCTCGCTAGCGAACCGTCTTGGGAACTGCTTTCTCACATCGTTCTTTTTCGACCAGAAAGCTTTCTTACCCTCTTTGTCCCTCTGCGCCTTGCCTGAGCTATCACCTTGCAGGCCTCTTCTCATCGCGTGTTCCTCCGCGAGCTCCGCGGCCTTCATGAGATTAGGCTCGCTGAGCCTGTCCTGAACCCAGAACATCACGGCTTCAGGGAGCTCCCGGAAGAACTGCTCCGCTGCAACACACTCGACCACCTTATCGTGGTCTCCGTGTGCCCCGGCACTCTTTAGCCACTCTATCAAATCTGCCTTTAAGTTATATGCGAACTCTGGCCACGATTGAGATGGCTTCCTAGATGCTTGACGGAAGCGTTGGCGAAATGCTTCCGTGGACAAGCGATACTTCTTGAGAAGTGCGGCCTTTACTTGGTCGTAATTGTCGGCGTCCTCTCTTGTTAAGCGCGCTATTACGTCCGCCGCTTCGCAAGGGAGTAGCGTCAGTAGCTTATGGGGCCATGTCTCGCGGAGGAAGTGCACTTTCTCGCACGTTCTTTCGAAATTTACGAGAAACAACCCGATGTCCTCGCCCAACTCGTACCAAATTTTGTACCAAATCGATTCCCAATTCGGTACAAACCTGCACCAGTTGTGGCACACGCAACGTCTCGAGATTCATGACTCTCTCTGTGTATCGGCACCCTTTTAGAACTCAGGAAAGCTCGCGTCCAACGGAAACACACTCGTTTAGACCGATACAATTTCCCCCAAATCCTAACAACAAATCTAATGGCTGTCAGGTCTGGCGGATCCAAGAAAGAGGGCCGGGCACTCACCCACACCGAGAGTCATGGTCCGGCGAAGTCGACCCGGTGTAGTCGAATTCCATGAAGTCGAGTCCCACGTAGTCGTATCCCACCGCTGCCAACCAGTTGTCGTGATTGAGGGTTCCGACGAACGCTCCCAGCCCGGCGACACTACCTTGTGCCGGGTAGGAGACAGGATCGAGGACCCGGAAGGCGACGAGCTCAGCAAAACAGAACACACTATATTTACATTAATTACAACATCCTTTCAGTGTTCGTACCACAACAACTTCACGGGTGTCCTTTCTTTATATCTCCGCCTCGCCATCTCGCCGTCCACTGGCTTGTCCAATCGCAGGGGCCTACGTGGTCCTCGGCAGCCAATGTGGAAGAAGTTCGTGTGCCAACGGCCAGCCAATGCCGAAGAAGTTCGTGGCGGGTCTCTCGGCGTGGTGGCTCGCCCGCTGAAGAGTCATCCACACGAACACACAGACACGGACACCCAGCTTCTACAAAGGTTGTCTCGAGAGCCGAGTTCTCCGAAGCTCCCGCACGAGCCGCCAGTCGGTGCGAGAGCGTGCTTTGGTCGACATGAGCCAGGGGCACGCGCCACTCTCGTAAACGTGGTACGGGTGTGTCGTAGCCTTTCACAATAGGTTGCATGCAACAGGTTGCATCCTGTGCAACCTGTTGCATGCAGCTCAGAGAAGAAGCAACAGGTTGCATGCAACCTGTTGCATCTCACAAAAAACGCCGCAACGTCGGCGTCGGCGTAGCCAAGGTCACCCCAATGTCACGTGACCCCCAAGATCCCCACAAGGTCACGTGACCCTCAAGGTCACCCAAGGTCACGTGACCCCCCAAGGTCACCCCTAGGCCACGTGATTTCCCGAGGTCACGTGACCCGTCCCCCAGGGTCACGTGACCCCCAAGGTCACGTGACACCCAAAACCACGTTACCCCCCCGAGGTCACGTGACCCCGATGACGTCATAAGTGACGTCACTGATGACGTCACCGGCATTCGCATCGTGATCGTCATCATCACTGATGACGTCACCGGTATCCGCATCGTCACCGTCATCATCACTGATGACGCCATCCGTGATGTCACTGATAACGTCATCGGTATCCGCATCGTCATCGTTACTGATGACGTCATCGGCATCGGCATCGTCATGTGACCCCCAGGTCACGTGACCACCCCCCAGTACCCTTCCCAGGTAGCACACTTGCTTGGTTTAGCTGGGGCCAGGGTTGCCACTTATTTGTGATAGGTTGGCCACGACTACCCAGCCATTTACGTCTGTATGCCAGCCTGGCGTTTCACAGTCTTCCCTTGCTCCAGAAAGCCACGGAACTGCCAGGGAACGCCTTCCTTGGTTGACCAATCAATTTCCTTGGTCATTGATGGTTAGTGTAAACAGACCGCTACCAGTTATTGATGTACCCTGGCTGTCTATTCATTTTCCTCGGTCAGAGATGGCCAGGGTAGCAATGCCTCCGCCAAGCTGTGGGGTTTCATGGTAGTTCGCAGGAATTCCCTGGTCCGCTCAACACAAGCAACAGCCAATATTCGGGCATGTTGCCTGATCGAAGATAGGGTGAGCCAAGGAATGCCAGGGAATTGCCGCTATGCAATGTTCCGTGGCTCAAGCTCGTATTCTATCGGACCCGGAATGCCCGCTGAAAGCCACTGCTACTCTAGAGTTCGTTTAACTTTTTCCATTTTTTTTCAATTCGTATGAGCGTTCTCTTAACATATTTTTGACGCTTTGTGGCAAGAGTCTTCGCACTAGAAAGTGACGTTTGAGTGCAACAAGTCTGTTTTAGCTTAAGACATAAAAAAAAACACGTTTTCGCCATTAAAAAAAAAACTATTTGAAAACAGTTTGGATATGAACAGCCCAAACCCGAAATGAAATAATTGTAGTGGAAATGTACCGGGCAAATTGAAAATAAAACTATCGAAATTGGTCGTACTCGAACTTTATAATTTTCCCGCTTTTTACCGCGGCCTTTATCTACCCTGGCTTGCACGGAGAAGCCGCTTCAAGCGCAAGTGCCCGAGGCGGCGTGCCTGGAAAAGCGCGGGAACGATCCCGCACCCTCCAGATGAATCACGCGCCTGAAATGCGCCAGTGCCCGGTGACCGGGGATGATGCAGTCTCCCCGCGCGCAGCGCGGATGCCTTGAAAGAGGACAGCTGTACACGTGCAAGGACAGGGAGCGCGCGGGCCAATTTGCGCGGCCCTCGCATCCGCTCGAAGCGCCAGTTTTGAGACGGCGGCCGGCGCAGTTCCGAAAACCAAAAAAAAAAAAAAAGAAAGAAAACCGGATCTGGCGCTGTTCTGTTTGGGGAGGTTACAAGTTGCTGTGTTTGAATAAGATAGTTTGCCGGTGCCTTGAGTGCTGCCTCTGCCGATGGTTCCTGTGGCTGATGACGTCCTCCGCCTGAGTTCCACTCGCTCGTGGGCGAAATGGCTGCATCCCAGAACGGCGTGTTCGGAATTCGCTCCGTCCTCATTGCAGCGCGGGCACTGTCTGTCTCTGTCTCGGCGCCAGCGAGCCAGGTAAGCAGGCTCGACCATTTGGATACATTTTCATAATCAGGGTCATGTGAAACCGAACCTTTTCGCAACCCCATTTGGAACAGCCATGCTAGTAATACAACCGCCAGTGTATACATTCAGTTTCAGAGATCCTCTACCGCAGTGGTTAACCACTGTGGTAGAGGATCCTGCTTTTGTTGCCCCTTCCTGCCTTCCTAGTCTGTCGTCCGCTATGCAACGTAAAGGCTGAACCGCATGTAAGCGATTTTCCGAGCGACGAGAGTCAGAGACGAGCGGCGGAGATTTCCCACGGTCGCTTGTCGCATCGCTCGGTTTTTGGATTCCTAGAAATCGTCGCTCATCGCCTTGGCCGCTTGCTCCGTCGCTTTCATGCGGTTTGCCGCGTCGCGCGAGTGACCGAACGACAGTGAAGCGGATCGTCGTCGCTTGTCTCGTGGCTCGTCAAATCTCTTACATGCCGTTTCTACGTAATTGCCGCGAGACTGGCACCACATGCACGATTGGCACACGCTTCCATATTCCCTCCCATACTGCTTATTATAGTGCATATTTTTTATTCGTGGCATTAGTTACATACCGTTTTAGAACAGACGGGTGCAAATAAATCTGCCATGGTCTAATTACTGATGTTTATTCTTTTTTTCAGATGGCTTGCGGTACTATGTTAGCCACCACCGGAACCCCGACACTCCAGAAGATGTGGAGATTCTCGCCAACCGCCTGGGACGCATTAATAATATCATGCCAATTTTTTCGCATTGTACATATGTTTTTATGTTTATTTTTGCAGCCTGCAGTATGTATTTTTTGCGGAAATGAAATGAATTATATTAATTTACGACGTGTGTTGTCAATATAACCAGTTAAACTGGTTTAACTGCATGGTGAATTTCTATTGTCTAGCCAAGCGTGGCTGACCACCCGGTCACTAACCTGGCCCATGCTGTATATCCAATAAAGAGCCAAGCTTGGGGTACCACTGAGCTTCCCGCCTGGCCCAGGCCGTAATTCCACTGGTGAGCCAGTCCATGGCTACACAGGGAACTGCCGGTGGTCGCCAGACTGGCATACCTGGATGGGGCTGCCTAGCGCCATGGTGCAAAACAATCTAGGCCCACTGAAACTTCCCTGGCTACCCAGTCTGGCTCAAGCTTGAGCCGGGCGTAATGTGCTGCTTGGGTTCCTTCCTCCTCCTCAAGAGCTGCGCTCTAACTCGGCGTTACAGGGAGTTGTAAACGGCTTTCACTTTTTTCTCTGGTAGTCGACTAGTGCCACACCTTGGGTTGCGTTTACTTGGAGATTTGTTTGCCGCATCCCGCCGATAAGCGCCGGTCGTTCCCCTAGAAATGTCTCGAGCGCTGTGCTTCGACTGTCGGTACCTGTCCCTCCAACCACTGCTCGGAGTGCCAGAAGTGATTTGTTGTGTCTGAGGGCAGACACGTCTGAGCCTCATACGCCTGGCGCCGTCTAGGCCTGGGCTCGGAGCGCCGGATGAGAATGTTGACTCTTTCGGGGAAATTAGAAAAAGTTTGCTGCTCTGAATAAGAGCACAGGCGAGACAAAGGGAGGGGGTCCTTGGTTCGGTACCGCTGGAGAGAAAGGAGCCGCTCTCTAACGGCGGCCAAGTCCAGGGTTCAGGTTGTCAATGCTTGTATTCTTGTATCCCGTATGTTACATTGTCTTTTTTTAAACTGTTGCGTAAAAGTACCTGCGTAAACATTTTTCTCGCCGGAACCGCTACACCACCACCACCGTCCAATGCAAGTCATCCTTCTACAAACCACCGAGGAGGAACCACCCTTTCAACCCATCAAGAACCTTACTGGCGCAGCCGACAGGATTGCGTTGGACATTCCTACGGCGACTGCGGCGGAGACGACCAGACGAAGGAGACGCCAGGACGGGGACGAGTACGAAACCTCGAGAACGGCCTCCCAGTTGGCAGAAGCCAAGCGAACGGGAGGAGACGCCGAAAAGTCGCCAGCATCAGAGCCGGGGCACGGTGAGGGAAGACAACCGAACAGCTGCACCCTCTTCCCGGTTGACTGGGTCGGCAGAAGGGGAGTGAGAGCCAGCAGGACGTCAGCGATCCCTTGACCCCGCGGCAGAGGTGGAGAGGACGACCGGACGGCAGCAAGGTTCCGCTGGTCGACAGAAATTGACAAAGCGGGAAACTTCGGAGGACGCTGCGGACAAGGAACTCCTGCAGAAGAGCTGGGCCTACGGTGCGGAAGACGACCGAGCGACAAGAGGGTCCCCGCGTTCGGCCAAAACCGACCAAGGCTCAAGCCTTGGAGTGTGCTCATCTACAAGTATCAGTGCGCCACCACGGTAGGAGGGAGCAGGACTGGCCACCGACAGTGCACGACAAGTTTCGACACCTTGGGTGAGTGAAGGCTTCACACTCTGGGGCTGGTGTCAGTTTGGTCTCAAAAGTAGCAGCGAATGGTTGTGGTGACTCGAAGCGCACAGAAAGCAGAGTTAAACGTGAATAAGGGCTCGGAGGGTCTGGTACGGAGGGGCAAGTGTCAATGGTTGCTGATACCCGCGCCGAGAACAATGTCGTTGCGATAAGACGCCTGGTGCTCAAGGCGTCTTATCGTCCTTGTGCGATAAAGCGCCTCGATTCCAGCTCCGGCTGGAATCGGAAGGAAAAATCCCACTGCGAAAGCTCGAGCTCGGGGCTAGCCTCAAAAGACCGAAAGCCGCGACTGCGTCGGGGGTGGCCGGCGGCCCAGATCCCGTATCTCAGTGCGCTAAACTACTGAGAAATCAAAAAGTGCCTGAAGACGCCGAGCTGCCCGTATGGTTTGACCGGGTAGAGAAGGTGTTTGCGACTTACGGCGTGCCGGAGAGGAGCAAAGTGCACCTGATCATGCTCGCTCTCTCAAGTAAGGCCAAATACCTTTTCTCCCGGTTAACCACGGAGGAGCTGTCTAGGTAGAGCGCGGTAAAGACAGCCGTGCTGGAGGAGCTTAGAGTGACGCCGGAGGAGCACCGCGCTCGTTTCATGAAGGCAATGGAGCGTAGGGACGACGGCCTAATAGACTTCATCTATAAGAGCGCAGCTCTTAGGGGCCCGTTTCCAGCCTGAGCGGCGTTGGCGTCGCCGTCGCCGTCGCCGTCGCCGTCGGCGTAACCGCGCGTTGCATCCTGTGCAACCTGTTGCATGCAAGTCAAAGAAGATGCAGCAGGTTGCATGCAACCTGTTGTGTTGCATCCTGTGCAACCTGTTGCATGCAGCTCAGATAAGATGCAACAGGTTGCATGCAACCTGTTGCATCTCACAAAAACGCCGCAACGTCGGCGTCGGTGTTGGCAGGTCGCAACCTCTTGCATGCAAGAGGTTGCACAGGATGCAACAGGTTGCATCCTGTGCAACCTGTTGCATGCAGCTCATGCAACAGTTTGCATGCAACCTGTTGCATTTTACAAAAAACGCCGCAACGTCGGCGTCGGCGTAGCCAAGGTCACCCCAATGTCACGTGACCCTCAAGGTCACCCCAAGGTCACGTGACTCCCAAAATTACCCCAAGGTCACGTGACCCCCCCAGGTCACCCCTAGGCCACGTGATTTCCCGAGGTCACGTGACCCGTCTCCAGGGTCACGTGACCCCCAAGGTCACGTGATCCCCAAGGTCACGTGACACCCAAAGTCACGTGACCTCCCGAGGTCCCGTGACCCCCGATGACGTCATAAGTGACGTCACTGATGACGTCACCGGCATCCGCACTGTCATCGTCATCATCACTGATGACGTCACCGGCATCCGCATTGTCATTGTCAACATCACTGATGACGTCATCAGTGACGTCACTGATAACGTCATCGGTATCCGCATCGTCATCGTTACTGATGACGTCATCGGCATCGGCATCGTCACGTGACCCCCAGGTCACGTGACCCCCCCCCAGTACCCTTCCCTCCTCCTCCTCAAGAGCTGCGCTCCAACTCGGCCTTACAGGGAGTTGTAAACGGCTTTCACTTTTTATATCGAGGCCCGGGAGACGAAGACTCTGGAGGCGCTAATCGAACTAATCATGGCTGACCGCTTCAAGGAATGTCTGAGCCCGGAGGCCCAAAGGCACTTAACTCTCCGCGAAGAAGAAGGGTCGCTCAAGGCTCACGAGATGTCGAAGATTATGGACACCTTCGAGGTGGCCGAGGTTAAAGACGAAGGCCAAAAAAACGGGTGACGCGGACGCAAAAAAAGGGAAGAACACTACCAACAGCCCCCCGAGGCCGAAGGGGCCGCCCCGGTGTTACGTGTGTAATGATGATTCCCATCTTGCCCGAGACTGTGCCCAACGGAGCCAAAAATATGCCAGATAAAAGAAGTTGCATGTCCAAAACATTCGGGCAACGCACTCCGACGGGTCGGGGGATGAGCCGCACGTTCTAGTTGCGAGGATGGGCACCACACCATAGAGGATCCAAGCATTCAAGGTTTCTCGTGGTGACGCCCGACTGCGGTGGGGCCAAAGTAAGCGCCGTTTTGGACACCGGCAGTGAGGTGACGGTTATGCGCACGAGCGTCGTGCCACCCGAATTGTTGGAACCTAGCGGCACCATAAAACTTGTTTCGGCCTTCGGCCAGGAACAGACCGCGAAGTTGGCCGAACTCCCCATATCCCTGCGACGAGAAGGGGAGGTCGGCTTGAGCAGCCCCATGAGCCTGCTTTCTGCCGTCACCGATCAGCTGGCACTCCGGATAGATTTCCTCCTTTCGATGGAAGGCTGGGAGCTGTTGTCAGGGGTTAAAGCCGTGTCCGCATGCCCACCGGTGGGAAGTACGGCTGAACCTCAGCGGCACGAACCGCCGAATAGAGGGCGGTACAAAACCGCAGGTCGCATTGGTGACGGGCATGTCTTCTGAAGAAACTGGCGTAACCGATACGGGGAATGGGGACACCGAGGAGAAAGGGGAGGACGACAGCCCGACGACCAAAGTATTTCAGGGCGAGCAGGCGCGCGACCCCACTCTGGGGAAGGCACAGTGCGACGCACGCGTGGGGACAGGCGGCATGTTTATCGAAAACGGCCGTCTGTTTCGTTGGGGTTCGATTGCCGGAACGAAGGCAAAGCA